CGATCTCCCCAAAACCCCAAAACCCCAAGAATCAAAATTTTTGAAAGTTTCCAAGTTTGAATTAAAAATTTAAATTAACTATTTAAAATGTATAAACCTTCGACAACTGTTCCAAAAAGAACTACTAATTCTACAAATACTACAAACAAAGAACCTAATAATACAAATTCTTCATCTACTGCTAATTCAAGTATTGATTTATAGTTTTTACAATTAATTTTAGATTCTAATAAGGATTCAAAACAAAAATTACCTCTATAGCAAAAATAAATTCACGAAAATAGAGCAGTCCATGATTACTAAAAGAAAACTTCAATTTAAGACCTTAAATCTCAGAATGTAAGCACTCCATCATCAACCAGTACAAATAACAGAGCAAGTATTTTATCTAAAACAGGAAAAGACACCACAGCATAGCCTAGATAAGTTAAAAGACCTGATAGCTCAAGCAGATATGCAGGTGCAAATATAGTTAACAAAGCTAAAAAGATCTCCCCTTAGAAAGGACTTAAAAAGTCAGACTCTGGAATAAATCAATTTTCTACTTCTAGTTTAAATAGATCACCTCATCTTTCCCGTATCATTAGAAATAATGACATATCGAATGAACTTGCATTATCATAAGATATCACATTTGATTAGGAATTGTTAGACCAACATAGAAATAGAGCTGCCTTGACAATACAAAGATGGTTCAAATAGAAAATAGAGGACAGACTACTCTAAGAAGCTGACTCTGCTATTAAATAAACCAAAGAACTGCTTAGAATGAAAAAGGAAAGATTGGTGAAGAATTATGTGTAAGGCAGAGAATCAGTAGATGATCCGTATGCTTTATTCAAAGAAGAAACATCCAAAGAAAGCTTTTCATTGTTCGGCAATAATGCAAATAGCAATATTCCAAGATCAATTTATGGAAACGATAGAATACTTGAAAACAAAATCGATAATGGTTTTGAAAGAAGATAACCAGAAAATCTAAGAGATTATCATAAGTCTGAGAATCAAAGGCCTAAGAATTTGTCAAAGCAATTTGAAGTTCTTGATTAGAGTGCTGCCTCTGAGATAGATATTGATAGATAGAATTCTAAATCAGTTAAATAGCAAGAAGAGGAAGATAATAAATTAAAAGAATTAAATGATATGCTAAAGAATAAGGATTTGATTTTCTCACTTTAAGATGATGACGAAGTAGAAGAGTTCATGAGAAAGTTTTACTAGAAAAAGAACAACTAACATACCACTGATAATAAAAGATAAGATTAGTAAAAGCCATATAAATAGGTCAAGTTTCAAGATGATTCCTCTAGTCATAGTAGCCCAGGAGACAGGAAAAATGCTGCACTTAAACATGAGGAAAATAATCAATCTCCTCCATTCAATTCAGATCATTCAAAAATCATGTACAACAAAAATGACTTAAACAATGAAAATGAGCAAAATACCATTATAAGTGATAGGAAATACTATGAGGAGGAGAAATATATTCATTAGGAGATTTGTGATTAGATAAACAAGGTTATTTCAGGTTCCCCAGAGTCCTTGATTTCTCACAACACAAACCCAATAATCACCAACAATCTCAAAAACCAAGTAGATGAGTTCAAGGTGAGCGACTATTAGAATAAAAATACAAGTAATCCTTAGAAATAACCTAAAGAGGAAACAGCATTGAATAATAGGTATTAAGATATAATGAAGTTCTTAGAAGTAGAGGAAGACAGTATTTCTCAGAGATCAGTATCTAAGTACTCTTAGCAAAAATCATATTAATAGCAGCCACCTTCAACCTCCACTTAGAATTACAATAAATATGAAATGATTGCAGGAAATAACAAGTTGAATAAATAGCAACATTAGCAATCAAAATACAGTAATACCTATGATGACATTGATGAAATTATATCTCAAGCAACATAATCTAATAAAAACACTACTTAGAATAGATTAACTTCAAATAACTCCAACATTACTTCTTAATTAGTCCCTGATGAATACAAAGAGAAACTTATGGAGTTAGAAATTGAAAGAGAAGAGTAATAGAAAGCTCTAAAGATGCTTAAAGAGATTAGAGAAAAAGAGAAATAAGATCTGAACAAGAAAATATTGGAGGAAAAAGAAATTGGGACTAAATCAGCTGAGGAGGTCAAGGTTTAAATGACTCATAAAATAGAGAAGCAACTTTAACTTATTGAATAGCTTGTTAAAGATAAGGAAGGTATGTAAAACTAGATGAAAGAGGTTGCCAAAAGGCTAAAAGAAAAGGACTAGGAGACTGAAAAGGAAAAACTAGATTTGATAGATAAATTCAAGAGAGAGCTGAAGAAGGAGAAAGAGGCATGGATGGCGAGTGAAAAGGTCAGAAAGGAAAAGTGGGAGTATGAGAAAATCTAGGAAATCAAAATGGGTACAGTCCAACAACTTCAACCTACTATTGAGCAACTGATTATTAAAAACAAGGATGAATTGAGAAAATAAGAGGAGAGAAATTAGATTGAGCTGAGAAAGCAAAAAGAGCAAGTGAATCAGGAATGGGAAAAGAAATTAGAATAGTTCAGAGAGAAGTCGGTGAGAGAAAGGGAAGATGCACTTGAAAAAGAGAGAGACAAGTCATAATAGAAGATGCATGACTAGTACGAGAGACTGGAATAGCAATTTAACGAAGAGCGTAAAAGATGGAAAGAAGCCTCAACTTAAGAATATGACAGACTAGATAACTTGAGAAGAAAGGACAAGGAATCCTTGGAAGAGCAGTTGAGAACGGTGAAGGAGCGTTACGAGAAAGAGCTAGACAGAGAAAAGCTCAAATTTGAAGATAAATTAGAGGAGTAGCAGCGTCGTTTATAGGTAGAGCTCAAGCAGTAAAAAGAGCAGTTGAGAGTGCAGCAAGATGAGTGGAAAGATGAATTCCTGAGGAAGTAGCACGACCAAAATAAGGAGTACCTAACAAGGATGGCTGAACAACTCAAGCGTGAATAACAGTAAGCAGTCGAGAAGATCATTGACAAACTTAGTGAGGAACAGTAAAAAGACCATCATAATATACAGAAGATTACTGAGACTAAAACCAAAGAGGTGGAACTCAAATGGAAGCAAGAGATCCAGGAATATAAGAGTCTGGTGTAGCAATGGAAAGAGAAATATAACGCAGAGTAGTATTCTAAGCAAAAGCTAGATGATAATCTGTCAGTGCTCACCAAGAGATTCTATGACATGGAACTAGAAATCACTTCCCTTAAGGAGAAACTAGCTAATTCTGAAAAAGACAGAAACTCTCTTGTTGACAAACTTAACTCGATTTACCGCGAGTAGTAGTAGCTGAGAAACGAAGTGGAAGATGACCTAAGACTATAGATAGATGAAAAAGAAAGAGAGCTCAGAAAAATGCGAGAAGAGGTAATGACTATTGAGCACAGACACAAAGGAGAGCAGGAGAGAGATAAGTTGAATCACAAGAATCAAATTGACTTGATTCACAGTAAGGTGGAGCAGGTGCTGGCTAAGAAAAGAGATGAGATTGCTGCTCTAGAGCAGGATCTTAAAATGAAGGATATACAGATTGAAAAGCTTAAAGTCATGCTGGATAAACAAAGGAAAGAACTGCTTAAGTGATCAATATGATTATTTCAAGAGACTGAGTGTGGAATTATAAAGAAATAGAAATTGAATTATTATTTTCAAAATACTTTTATTATTCTTCTTATGGGGTTTTGGGGTTTTGGGGTTTTGGGGTTTTGGGG